CGACGGAGACGGCCAGATACAGGAACAAGGTCTCCCCGTCCACAGGTCGCGATAGTACGGGCGGTTGTGAAAGGCTTTGATTGAGATGGAGGAGGGCTTTCTTACATTCCTCGATCCATTTGAAAGCCTCCTCTTTGCGCAGAAGTTTGAAAAATGGAAGGGCGTGTTGTGCGAACTTTGCCACGAAATGGGAGAGCGATGTGAGTATGTCGTTCAGGACTTGTATAGATTTCTTCAAATTATGTGTAGGGAGATCGGAGAACACTCGGCACTTATCGAGGTTGGCTTCAATTTCCCGTTCTGTTAGATAAAAATCGAAGAACTTGCCCTCTTTAACCCTGAAAGTGCATTTCTCGGGATTGAACCTCATTCTACATTGTCTTGCTTGGGCAAAGACCTTTCTGAGGTGGGCATCATGGTCGAGATTTGACGATCATGTCGTCCATGTATACCTCAAGCATATCTCTGATCTCGTTGCGGAAGACTTTATTCATCATCTGCTGGTATGTCGCCTCTGTGTTTTCAGACTGAAGGGCATTACGTTGTAGTAATAATTTCCCGAGCTGGTCATGGAAGCGGTGCAATGTTTGTCGCTCATCGCCATCGAAATTTGGTTGTAGCCCGAGTAGGCGTCCATAAAAGATAGAATTTTATAGTCGACCAAGTTGTCGACCAGCATGTCAATATTAGGCAAGGGGAAAGCATCTTTGGGGCATACCCGATTAAGATCGATATAGTCAACACACATACTCCATTTTCATTATTCTTTTTAACTAGTACAATATTTGACAGCCAGGTTGAATACCTGACCTCAGAAATAAAATTAACTTCTAGGAGGTCTTTTATAGCATTTTCAGCAGCCTCCGCTTTCTCGGGAGACTGCCTACGTCTATGTTGTACTATTGCCCTATCGGCTGGATCAATGGCCAGTTAGTGGTAGATGACCTCGGGGTCGATATCGGGCATCTCATCAGCACTCCACGCAAACAGGTATGCATTCTCCATCAAGCAAGCTTTGATCTGCTTCCTCGCCAGGTCGGGGAGTCTCGTGCCGATCTTCACGCCTTTGTGAGGGTCTTCACCGAGGGGGGCGAACTTAAAGTCTCCATTCGAGATTGGTCAGAGGAGTCCCTGCTTGCCGTTGGGTGCTTCATCCTGGTCGAAGCGGGTGTCCGGCAAAATGGAGTTGACCTTTGAAGGAGCTCTTTGTTCTTCCGTCTTTACGGGTTGTGGCTCTGGTCGTGCAGTAGCAGCTCTCTTGGTAGGTCGTGCTCCAGTGTTGACCGTACTTTGTCCCTTTGATGCTGCGTTGAAACATCTTCAGGCAGCTGAGAGGTCGCCGTCGATGGTGGCGACGCATCCTCTCTTCGTGTAGAATTTCATCTTTAGATGGACGATGGAGGAGACATCGATCAGTTCGGCCAGTGTCGGTCTCCCTAGAATGCAGTTGTAGAGAGACGGGCAATCGATGACCAGAAATTGCACCTTGACCTGCCTAGTGACGATTTCCTCGCCGAAAGTGACTAAGAGCTCTACGTATCCCCACGATTTGGAGGTCGAGCCATTGAAGCCTTGCAGGTCAGACCCCACGTATGGTGAAAGGTGGGTGTCGTCAAGCTATAGGGTTCGAAAGAGATGGCTATACATCACGTCGACGAAACTCCCTTCGTCGACCAAGACGCGGTAAACGTCAAAATTATCCATCCTTGCCCTAACCAGAAGAGGGATGCTTGAATTAGGGGGCCCTTTCGGAAACTCTTCGAGGTAGAACGTGATCGGCTCTGATCTGTCCCTGACCCTCTCAAATATCACCGCTTGGGGGAGGGGGGGGGGGACCGCGTCGACTAGCTCATCCAGATTCCTCTTTACAGTGTTTATAGATATGTCATTAAACCCCCCGCCATTTATAACCATGGCGGAGGGGAATATTTCACACCTACTGTGTGTGGACAGAGGTTCTTCTTCGTGCGTATCGGGAACGTAGAAGTCCTCTGATCTCGTAATGGAGAAGGCTATTTGAATGGGGCCATTTCATCTGATGGCCAGGTATCCTCCCCGACCTCCTTTGTGTGGCAGGAATCTCGACGAGGGGTGTCGCCGCGTCGATATTGCCCGAGTCTATCCCCCTTTAATGAGGGTTTCAATAGCATCTTTAAGGTGGACACGATCTTCAGTCAGGTGTCCATGACTTCGATGATACTGGCAGTATTTGCTTTGGACAGCCACGGGCTTAGCAGGAGCAGAGTAAGGACGTCTGACGTCGCTGTCCTTGAAGTCAATATTAGCGCGCTCCGCCAAGATGCGCTCGCGGGAAGCTGTCAGCGGAGTGTACTCAGTGAACCTCTTTACGGGCTCTCTTTGCTCGCGAGGATCCCGTGGTTTGTCATCCTTCCTCTTCTCGCCCATCCGTCGAGGAAGTCTTGAATCTTGGTGTCGTGGATTGTTGGTTGGTCCATGATTCCTTGGGTCGCATGCTCTATTGGTCGCTTCCCTCTCCTCATAGTCCATATAGGCCCTAGCCTTTTTTAGGAGAGCATCAAATGTCCGGGGTGGTCCGATGCCAACGGCCTTCCTGAACTCCGTGCCCGAGAGGAGTCCCCTCTCGAGCAAGTATCTCTTCATATATTGGTGCAGGAAACCTGAATGGCCTCACGGTTGAACCGATCAATAAACTCCCTGAGGGTCTCGCCGCTTCTTTGGACGATGGCCTCGAGGGCTGCCTCAGTCTTCGGGTGTCAACGTGAGACAGTGAATGAGTTAATGAATTGCTTTTTTAAATTTCTCCAGAAGGTAATTGACCCCGGGGCGAGGTTCTTAAACTAGTCCATCGTAGTCTTTCTCAGAGTCGTGGGAAACAATCAGAGTTTGATCGATCCCCCGACGTTATGATAATGCAGCATTGCCTCAAACTCGCCGATATGGTCGATTGGATCGACAATGTCGTCGTACTCCTTCAGCTGGGGAGGTTTCTCCATACTCGGGGGAATGGGTGCCTCCATAATAGCCTGGGATAGGGGACCGCAGGGGTCGTCTCTGTCGCTTCTGTCTGGAGATCAAGAAGGAGACCTGCTGTAATGGCGGTCGTGATGGCAGCCCTGGTCGCATGGAGGATCCCTCGGTCGGGGTCGTTGTTCTTCATTTCCCCTGTTTTTGTTTCCAGGAGGTCTTAGATCTTGGCGCGGGGGGACGTAATCACGTCTCCTCGTATCAATGGGTTGATTCATCTCCAATGCGGGGCGTCGCCCAGTTCGTCGGGGAGAGGGGCTTCGAGAGGCATCCTGTCTGCTTCTCCGCGGGGGAGATTGGGGACGGTCCTCTATCTGACGGGCAGGAGGAGAATCAGGCCTCCTGTGTCTTCTGGGGGCTCTTCGAGAATCTTCAAGCACCCTTAATCTCTCACCTTATGAAAAGATCAAGTAGTTTGTTTAATTCATAGCCACGAACAGTGCCCTGGTCGTGACATCAGCGTCCGCAGGAGCGGGGACCTCCTAGAATGCGTTCAACTGATAGTTCTGAGGAGGACGACGATCGTCTTCGAGTCGTCGGGACAGTGATAACGATGAGGCAGTCAATCTGTCTCTATATTCTGAGGGACGGGCATGTCAACGGTGTGGCCGATGTTGTTGTCGGTGTTATTGTTATCGGCGTTGTGGCCAGCGGGACCAGCGTTATTGGTGTCGGCGACGTTGTTATTGACGTCGGCGAAATGGATATTCAGGTTGTTTTATGTCGTGAGGTCAGCCATGACAGTAAAAAAGGAGTTGGATTAACTTTTATCGTATGCAAGTGAAGGACGGGAAAGCTTGATTCCCACAGATAGCGTCACTGATCGTACCTGACCAGAATGGACCGTCACAGCTTACGTCGAGCAGAACTTGAAAGTGAGGTGGAGAATACATGTAAGACACTCCGATGCCAAAATGAGATACGGAATAGTGCAAACAAGTAAGAGTGAGAAATGTTCAATATCTGACCCTCTCAAGAGAGGGTATTTATAGCCCCAACGCTGGGTCAAGGTCTCCTCATTAGACTGGTCGAGCAGACCTAAAGTGGAGACTGTCAAGTCCTACGTGAGTAGTGGGGACTAGTACGTGGTCCTCCACCTGAATGACTTCCTCTGCACGATCAGGAGGATATAGATACGGTCTTTTTGAGGCCACGAAGACTCTGTGATATTCAAAGACGTTGATAGTCAGCCCTACGAGGAGGATGCTCGTGGAGTGCTTCTACTCATCGTGGATGCTCCCCGCCAGACGCGAGGTCGTGTGAGAGAATCAATCTTGGTCGAGGAGAGAATTGGAGGGTGACCTCGAGGTCCTCCTGACCGGCGATGATCTTCCTAAGACTAACTGGATTTATCCCCGTGTGATGAGGTTGCCTCCTCGCAGAGAGTGGATAATTGAGTTAGGCCTCACATGGAATTGGGCCAAAGACAGGCCCAGTCCAAAATATTTTTCAACATAATTTCTATGTATATTCTAATAACTACTACAACTTGATAAATTAAATTAATATTTATAAGACAATTATCATTAAAATCTATTTTCTTATTAATTCGTATATATTTTTATATACATTTCTTAACCATACCTATCTTAAATATTTATATTGATTTTTACGAATGCCCAGTCGTTTACTAGTTATGGAATAAAAGAAAAACCCTCAACTTATTAAACACTTCAATTTCATTTAATAATTTCAGTTGTTTCTTTCCAAAAGCTCTGCAAAAACTACTAAAATAATACATTGTCTGATTAACTATCATGTGTAAGTGTGAGTATACTTGTGTCATCAGCTGTCAAAAATTTACAGAGCTTGTGCACACTTCATTTTCATCAGACTGCTACGCTTGAACTACTTATTAAAAATAATAATAATAATAATAATACATGAATACAAAATCAATGAGGAAGATATTTCGAATGGCCTAAAATATATTTGCGCCACACTTTTCGCAGCATGAAATAACAAATAAGATGTATCTGGGGTCAAGTGAGGAATCATGGTCTCTCATCTTCAGCTGTATGGCCATCTTCATGACCATCTCTCCAACTGCCCAATTTAACAATGTCCTCGACTAATATTTTCCCATCTATATTTAGCAACAAAAGAATTAGTTAGATGTTAGTAGTTACTGTATTCGAGAACTAATCTTTGTAGAGAATAATTAGTGTTAGTATTATTCTGAGATTTTGTTCAGACATCTATTGCTTTGAAGGTTAAATTCCATGAGTTTCATGGGCATTTAATTTGCATGAATGAAGAGCAAACCTTTTATTTAAATGAACTTCACAGGAAACAAAATATAGAACTAATAAGACAAAAAATGATAGTTGTTTGAGAGAGAGAAGATGCAGACCTTTATCTTTGGAAAGATTGCTGACAAGTTCTTGGATGCCCTCTTTACCCAATGTATCCTTCAAGTACATTGCAGCTGATGCTACTTCCTCAGGAGTAACTTTTCCATCATAATCTCTGCATAAACAGCCAAACTCTCAAAATCATATTGCACAGTAATTCATTGTGAACTAAATTGTTAGAAAACATGGTAAGTCGCTATTTGGTGGTTAAGTGAATAATAGACGCAGGAGAAAAGGATAAACATGGTATCTTTGGTGGTAAGTAGCTGAATACTTCCTTTACTCCATAAAGGAAAGAGCCCTATTTGGTGGTTAAGTGAATAATAGAAGCAGGAGAAAAGGATACACATGGTATCTTTGGGGGTAAGTCGCTGAATACGTTCTTTACTCCTTTCCCCGAGTTTGTACACGCAATAAGATGCCCACTCTTGCTAAATTTCAGACCTGACCAAGAAAGGTCCCTTCACTCAAACAATTACAATATCTTTCCCCAAATTCTATCCAACAATAATCAGCTTATTATCTTGATCACTTCGACCCTCTTCTTCAGTTAGGGTATGAGTTACAAAAAAACCACTCTGCGACATAAAACCATTGATAGAAAAAGACTAAAAAAAGATTCCCAACTAAATTACTAAAGACCAAATGAACAACAGAAATTAAATCAAATGACTCCTGTATATTAATTCATTATATAAGCAATACATATGTTGTCAGTAGAGGCACATTGGGGTGCCATAGCAGTAGGGTGGAACAGAACAATAGCTAGCCGCTCCCTCACACATCGGACCTGACCAGAATAGAGTCGCAGCTGCCTTCTTGTTTCGTATTTGCACCATGTCCGGATTGCAGGGACATGAGCGCTACCGTGTTGGGATATAGGAAACCCAGAAATAGCCTTAAAATCTAGTCATTGCAGGGGCACATTTTAGGGGATTTGCAAAATGAAAAACCCTAATTTCCCTCTTTTCTTCTATGGGAAGCTTCTCTTCTCTTCTCTACTTTCTAATCACCGCATACGAACTACAAACTAAAACTGCTAGCCGCCGTCCCAGCCACCACCTTCACTGGCCAACTGTTGTTCCAACTGCCGCCATTGTTCCAGCTCCTGCCGTCCCCACCTCTTCACATTCCAATAGCCACGACAACTACTCTTCTAAACCAACATTGACCAGTGACTCATCCCTAATTACCAGTTTTAGGGTCAAATAGCGGTCATCCCGCACCCTGTAATACAATTTTGGGGTCCATCGCTCCGCTCAGAAATCCAGGCTTGACATCAGAGCAGAACATCTAAGCTTCCAGTGATAATCATTGTTTGACTCGCTTAACTGAATTTATGCAAATGCATCATAAAACCACATTTCACTTTAAAGAGATTTAATAGGGTAGGCCAGTAAAGATAAAATTGTGGCCGATAAAGAACACAATGTCAAAGAGCCTTGGCTCAAGTGGCACCAAATCCCTTGAAGGAAAACATGATCCCATAAACCACTTGGTGACCCAAAATAAAAAATAAAAAAATGAAGACCAATGTTGAAGAGCAAGTGTACAAACCTATCCAGCAGCCTCCATCGGTCGCCAATTTTGGCATCCACATCATCTATTTCCTTTTCAAGATTTTGGAGCATAGCATCAACCTGACAGGATTTCAAATAATTATAAATTCATCAGTGAAAATTTGGTTTCTAGCTTTTCTCTAAGACTTGATAAATAACACAGTTCTTACTCTTCCTATGAGTGAGGATGACACTTTATCCCCATCATCATCCGACTCATCAGCATGCTCATGTGCAGCTTTATATGCCTTAAAGGCATCTTTTTCACCATTTGAACCCTCCTTTTCTACCATGCTGTTATAGAGTTCTATCTGTAGGCATACATAACAGCCAGATGAGGGTAGCAAATGGAATATTTATAACACAGAATTCGGTTAGTTCGACATCATGGCAGTCATGCATAAACAAAGGCACATTATAGATCATTGGGGCATGTGGCCAACACATGCAATAGAACTCACCCTCACTACCTGTTAAAAGGATGATTTTTAATAGTGGAGTAGAGAAGGATGATTTTTTAATAGTCACAGATGGGTCCTTTCAAGAATGCTTGATCGATTAAATAGGTAGAGCAGGATGTATTTCGGAAGCAACCTAGTAAGCACACTAACCCATGGAGATTAGAGCATTTGCATCCCCAGTGGGTTCAGAGTATCCCCCACCAGCATAGGTCATGGACCTGTTATAGGATTAATATCTGCTCGGGGCTTAGGTATTATGTTAAAGTTTTTCACCTCTTCTCAAGAGTGTGTTATGTGGAGGTCAAAGTGAGATCCTCCCCCAAAAGCTCAATATTGTTTAACTTAATCAACTAGGCCGCACCCAGTGAGTGCCTAAGGGAAGCCTTGGAACAACTGTTGAAGTTGCTACCATGCGATAGAATTATTCTCTTGTGAATGCTAAGTAAGGCTACCTACTATACTTGTGTCAAAAGCTCAACACTGTTTAACCAACTGAGGCATACCCATTGAGTAAGCCGAAGGGAAGCCTTGGCACAACTGTTGAAATTGCTGCCATACCATATGATAGAACTACTCTCTTGCAAATGCTAAGTAAGGCTACCTGCAATAGATTCGTAATGGATCTAACTTTCCCCTAGATTTCGCTACAGTGGAAGCTCAACAGCTACAGGTTGCCCTTCTAAAAATTTGGTACCGACAATTTCAAATATATGCAATTGTGTAAGAAACACCAAACATAGGTTTAATTAATTTATATTATTGCACTTTGATTTGTAAATGATATTTGAACATTTATATTTTTATATGTGCAATGTCTTTGACCCTAACCCCACTACCAAAGATGTTGAGGTAGGCTGCTAACCCCAGTGCGAGATATAACACATCAATAGATTCTTACGGAAAATAAATAGTACTAATAAAAAATATTGCTAATGCCATATTCTATAAAATGTTATTAGATGGAGAAAGTGTTTAGACTTGTACTTGGGGTCACTGAATCTTGACCCCATACACTTTTGTGTGCGTATATACTGACCTAGTGAAAATCTTGGCATTCTTAGATTATTATTTAATAACTTTGTTTGGTGATTTTTTTAACTACCCATTTGTTTATAAATGATAAATTTAACATTCAATCCATTGGATTGAAATTTTTCATGAAGTAGATCAAGTGTACAAAATTCCATGCAAGTCATAAACGAATGGATATTTCATTGCACCACATATCGGCAAAAAATAAGTATACTAATATTTGATTGCATGCTTTTGAAAGTCAAAATAATAAGAATTTTAGTACATATGGCCATCAGGATAATGTTAAATGATTTGACATTTAGATTGGTTGATTTCACATTTTACAAAAAAAAAAAAAAAAAAAAAATCAGTTACATGATATAACTGTATTCACACCTAGTCTCAAGGAACTTTACTCTAAATGGATAATCTTGGACTTTCCACATTGATTTGTGATATGGTCAATATGGTGATTATAAGGGAAGGGAGCCCTCACCCCCATGAGCTAGTTTTGGGATTGACTTAGTTTCTAGCTAAAATTCTTAGATGATATCAAAGCCTGTCTAGGTTCATTGTTGGGTCACTAGTAGATGTCTAAGTCCTACAAGTTTCACACTTCAAATGTCTAGTCTTGAACATGAAAAGGGTGTGTTGGAGATCCATGATGACTAGTGATGTGGCTGAGATAGTGATATAAGTGGGGGGTAAATCATTATCGCATGAGCTAGCTCTGGCGGTTGGGGAAACCTCAAGCCAAATTCTACTAAAAAACATTAAAAAGCAAATGAAATAGGATGTCGGCCAACTTTAAAAATCTAATAAGATAACTTTTAATATAAGAAATTATAAATGTACCCTGTAACATGCAGAAACTTAACCTATTAAATGCAATATATAGAAGACTAAAAAGCAAATGACTGAGTATTAAAAATTTCAAATTACCTCTTTATTAACTAGCCTTAGAAAATCCTCACGCTCTGTACTTACAGACTGCCTCACAATAAATGGCATTAGCAAAAAAAAAATGTAATTCATCAATTGTAGCAATTGAGAGTTCCAAACGTTAAACTCTCACCGATGCAGAAGATAAAACAGCTAATGCACGACTAATTTCACACAGCTGCTCTTTGTTTTCCACTGCTCTGTTTCTAGCAAGTTGATGTGCTTCTTTTGCCGTTGAAATATTCATCTCGTTCAAGGCCTTATCTTCTTGACTAGAATCCGTCTCAACTCTTGCTGGCTCCACACCTTCTTTTTCTTCCTCCTCCTGCATTTTAATTATAATACTATATTATTTATCACCGTGTTTGGAGCCATGAAATCTTGATTCAAAATAAAGTTTCCAAATTTTAATTAATAATCAATATGAAGCCTTTAAACCCTAGAAAATGATCTTTGTAGTGAACTCTATCAATACCTGAAACTTCTATTCTTTAACCTTCTTATTATTAAACTCCAATAGAATTATACCCATAAAAACATTGAAAAGACTATTTTATAACATTGATTATTTAATGTACTTTATAGGTTATTGTCACATGAATCGAAGAAAATATCCGAAACTGATGACCGAACAACTTTGTCATCTTAATGAAACAAAACAGCCTACTAAAGAGCAATGCAATTCCATATTTTACCTTAATACGTTCTTCCTGCATTTCAAGGAACTCCAATTTCCTCCGCCTTTCTGAGACAGAATCCTCAGAAGGTAAAGATGTAACTTGTATAGTATCTACAACCTCATCAGGGAGAGAAGAAATTGTAGCCTGTACAGCTTCTTCTGGTTTTAATTTCCCAGCCACAGTAAAAGCCCTATAAAGGTCACCAAGCAAGAATCAAATGCATATCCAGCAGGATCTTTAATTTTTAATTATTTGTTCATGACAAGGGAGCCTCGGCTAAAATTACCTTGAAAGTATCAAAAGAGATGATGGTACAGAGTGATTCAAAGATAAGTCCAACCAATCTCGAAGCTGACAGAAAAGTTCACATATTTTAGAATAGAAATACCACAGTAACATTTGATATTCGTGAAAATTGATGTTGCAAACTTGCAATATCATCATCCAGATCTAGTACTCCAATATAACTCAAGTAAGCATAAAATTGTTCACGGCAAAAACACCTGTTGGCGCATTTCTTCAACAGAAAGCAACCCAAGCATGCCTCGCTCTCTACAATCTTCCCGGAGTTCAGCTTCTGAAAGAGAATCTACACCTTCGTCTTGAATCAACTTATCATCCTCCTTAATGCTAAAGGGGAATGTTGCATGTAAACACAATCATGCGGTCGCAGAGTTAGTGGTAATTGAAGTAGCTCCAAAGGTTAATAAACTGTTTGGTTGAGTTTTTGCACTTGTAACATGAATCATAGTCATAACACATAACACCAGAATGAACGGTGTACCATACTAAAGCAGTTGGATTAGTGTTCTTTAATAAAATAGTAAGAAGGGGAGACTAGCTATATTGATTCTTTCCTAATAGTAACAAAGGATGATTCTTATCAGAGAACATTCTTAACATTTCCCAGATTTTATTACAATATTTTCATCTCATCTTGCAATCAAAAGTAAATAAAAATGTTATAAAAATAGTATGAAAAATGTCTTACCTCCGCAAACGTTTCCTCAGCATATATCGTAAGTATGCATCAGTGCCAAAAGGGTTGATGCCCATGTACTTGCACATATTTACTAATCGAGGCCTACAAACAATGAAGACACAGTTGAAAATCACAATACGACCCTACAACCAATGAAAAAAGCATATTGAAGTGAAACAGAGTTAAGAGACTGACCTGTTTATATTATCTAGAGTAAGCTCATCATTAAACAACTTTGCAAAGCCCAGAATTTCCTCATTAGAGACACTTGAACCCCTTCTAATCTGCAAAAGGAAAAGAAAGGGTACATATGACAATATAACAAAAGACATTTGGGACAAAAGATTGATAAAGGATCAGTTAAGATGAATACTTAACCATGTTTAAAAATCCATCAAGATCTTCAGCTGTTTTTTTTAGTTCTCCACTACGGGAGTTTTGAACTTCTTTTGCCATTTCTTTGACTGTATCTTGGAGGAACCTTGCATACTCTATTCTTGCCTTGAGTCTCCTTTTCAATGCTTCCTACACATTGAACAACTAAGTCACACAAACACCCAACCATGGACTATCAAATTCCCACGCATTCATCACAACCACAAATTAATAATACAAATACATTTTTTTATATATATGGATTAGTATCAATATTATTGATGGTCACATTAGAAAACAAAAGTTACCAATAAAGGTAATCACTATACATGACACATGGCTGCCAGAAAACAGTGCATATATTAGCATATAGTCATCTAAAATTAGCAACCAAAGATGCATATTAGTGACAAAAAGGACATTATGCCAATATTGATCTTCAGGAGCTGTCCTCTACATAGGGCCGCTTGCACATGCCTTGCAGTAGCTTAGTTAAACTGTTATTTTTCCTTTGGTAACAGACAGAATGATTCAAAAATTATCGAATGGTACGACATTTTCAACAAGAGATGAGAGAACAATTTTCATGTAAACATATGTATGCTCAGTTTATTATGAGCAAACATAATACCCAAAGAGAATGGACAAAGAGCATAAACATTTTTAGCAATTACCTGTTCTTTCATCTTGTCCTGAAATGTAGATGGTAACATGTTGGGGAACACCTTGAGAAACACTGGCAAGAGGAATTCCATAAAGGGGACAATAATGAAAACTGCAACAGGAACTAGCCTGAAGATATCTGCAGTAGTCCGTGTCAGTTGCTGTCTCTCCCTTCTAGAGAGATTCTTTCCATTAGCAAGCTTCAACAATAACCTGGAACTGATTCTCACATCAGCCCACAGCAGTTTGCAACCCAACCAGTAATGCTGCAATGTCGATATGAACTCCCCTTTCCAGTGAACAAGTTTTTTGGCCCAGTCCTCTCTGCAGCAAATCAAAAGTCAGAATCACTGAGCATAAATTATGATTTCAAATTGCAGCATACAATATTAGTTTTCAAAGTGTCCACAAATTGAAGCCGTCATCAGTCTGCAGTCTATAATTCTCAACAACCACAAGACAAATGTAACCACAATTTAAAACCACAAGACATCCATAATCTATATGATTGCAACACCCCTGTAATCTATTTTGAAATCATAGGATGTTTGCAACTTTTATAATCGCAACTGCAATTTAAAACCATATACACTTTCAAAAGAAAGTATGTAAGTAATTTTGGATCCATAACATAATATCTGCCACATCGATAGTCATAACACGAGCACAATTGCATTTTGATATCATAGAATGTCTGCAATTGTAATAATCCCAACAGCAATTAAAAACCATATATACTCCCAAAAAACTAATCACCTACACATGCAAAACAAAAACAAAAAAACTAATGTTTGTAATTGAACAATACTTGGCATCATGGAAAAGGAGTGACCAACCTACTCATGGAAGCCACAGCTCTCAAAGCCGGACCAATACCCAAAAACAAAGCCCGAACTCGCTGCAAAACACTCTGCACAACTTTCTGCGACTCCTGAGACCGTTTCGCCATAGCAGCTTTCGCTTTGGCAGTGGTCAAACCCTCAACCGCCTGATCACATTCCTCCGGAGAAGCTTCTTTCCGCTTCTTCCCAACCACATCATCACTCTCCGCTTCATCTTTCTTCGCAGCCGCTGCCGTCGACTGCGACAAAAACCTCACGCCTATGGACTCATTCAATCTCAATCTCGTAAAATCACCACGGAAACCCGTGAAATTGAATAATTCCTCTTTGTACCGTGAAATTTCATTGGTAGTGTTCGATTGAGGAGTGTTAGGTTTTGTAGTGAAAGAACGTAGCGGAGAGCGAAAAGATGAAATCGACGAAGCGTTAGAGTATTGATGAATGAAACCGCTTCTTCTTCTTAAAATCGCTCTCGAAGCCATTGTAGAGCTAAATAATCTTCAGCGACAAAAAATACATAGATATAAGTTATGATTCTGAATAAGATTATAACCTAAAGTATCGATCATGCTAAAATAAATAAAAATTTGAATACGTAATGATTTTTAGAGAAGATAATGAAATTGAGATGGTGAAGATTGAGCTTACTGGGATAATTATGTGGAAGTTGAGAAGAAGAATGAAGAGAGAAGACAGCGCCACCAGAATGGAGATGGAAGAGAGGTTTAAGGAGTTTTTTTCCTTTTCTTGCGGAACGGAACTGGGGATTGGGTGTTTTTTTACGATTTTGTCCTTGTTAATGACATGTTATTCATTTTTCACCCTTTGAATAAGAGTATGCAGGTGGATCCTTCTTTTGACTTGTTTGGCTTGTTGCTCAAGCCGATTCGGTGTTGCATATTCAATCGACCAATCTTTTAAAACTTCAACAGGTGATAGATTAGGCAATTGGATTAATGATCAAACCGCATTATCATTAATTAAAAACATTATTATGTAAAAATATTAAATATATATTATATAATTTATTTAAATTTATTTTTAATATTATTTTTATATTAGTATGTCATATACAATGCTAATACAAACTCTATAAGACTCTCTATTTCAAATGTGTCATATACAATAGAAACTCTACAAACATGACAACAATTAAATATAAAGAGTGAAAACAAAAGTGTTAGCTCAATCACAGACTTGATTAATGTTCAACCTCAACCTGTTGAATTGGAATTCAGCTGCAAATTCACTCGAGGATAGCCACTAGGATGAAGTGAAACGCAAGGTGGTAGAGTACAAGAACTTGACAGAGTGGATATTGTTAAAACATGAAACTTAATTGGTGAATTAATGGAGGTTTTGGTGTTTGTGGAGAAGATGAAGTGAGAAAAAAAAAATTAGAGCGAGAGAGAGAGAGAGAGTAATTGAGGGTGAGAAGAGAATTATCATTAATGTGCATATTATATCACAAAGGATATTTATACAATCAAGTTACAGTGATTGAGATCTAAATACGTCAAATAAAGCAATTGAAAAAATAAAAACTCAGGCTGATAACTGGTTACCACTGAAGTAAACAGAAAACATAATCAATTCTGATTGCATGTAATCGGTTACATGTAATTGGTTACCAACTCGAAAAACTATTTTTTTGGTTTTTCAGAAGCTGCGACATGTCATTAACCTCCAGTGACTTGCTACACGCACTTGAATTATTATTTTCAACTAACACACCATCTTAACTCAAGTGCTCCAAGTTCTTCAAGTTCATGCTCATCTTCAATCTCTTGAACGCATCATTTGTGACTCTCTTTATCAACAAATCAGCAATTTGGTCTTCACTCCTACAATATCTCAATCTTAACTTGCATTCACTCACAAGATCCCTCAAGTAGTGAAACATCATCTCAATATGGTTGTTTCTTCCATGTGCAATTGGATTCTTGGCAAAATTAATTATTGAAACATTATCAACCAAGAGTGTGACAACATCACCCTCATTGTTGCTCCAGTTCCTGCTGTAGATTCATTAGCCACACAGCTTGACACGCATATAACAATGCGACAATATACTCGGTCTTGTAACACCCTTCTAATCTCACATGTATTATTTGTTTAACTTACGAAATAAATCAATTAAAGTCACCACACAGGGGTGTCACACTTCATAACAAAACATCACAATTACATTCATGCTTCGTAACATGGGTTACATCAATAACAATGTCATCTTTTTATATAATAACTCATCACTTTAAAAACATCGTAGTGGAATCATCGTCATAACAACATAATTAACTTCTCAAAAGTTCATGACGTTTAGTCTCATCAATTACTAAAACCATACTACAATTAAAATCTCCATAAAACATGTCAACATAACATGAGAGAAATATCATATTCGCAAAACAAATTGTTCCCAACCCGATGTTACATATCAGAGCAAGACATCTTATAATAAAATAGAATAAATAAAACACACTAAGGTTATCCTCTAAGCTTCAACGAACTACTCCTTATCACTTGTGTGTTATCCACGTGGAGGCAACATTCAAACAGAAAGGGTGAGTAATCACAATTTATTATAAAAGACATTAGCAGTTACAACAGCATCATCACATAATAGCACATACTAATCATCAATACTTCATATTCATACGTACATCATAAAATTCCACGAACATCTTTCATCATCAAAACATCATATAGTCACATACTTCACAATTATCGTCATAGCACAGCTCATCAATTGAAATCATACAATGTCACATTGTACCCCAAAATTTTCCCTCTCTTTTCTCAAGACATTTCACACAAGATCTCCAATAACTCAAGCTTGCACAAGTGTTGACTAGGTCAAACCATCTTCTAAACACTGATGCCTCAAATTAGGGTTTTTATTTTCACAAGGATATTTGGACTTCTAATGCTTCAAATGAACTTCATGGATTATTATAGACCTCCAAGAATACTCATGTCAAGTTTCAAGTCTTGAATCACAAATTTGTTCAGTCAACTGACCAGATGATTGAAAATCAACTATATTGGGTAAAAAGTCAACTATAGTCAACCTACAGTCAAACTTATTAATTTTTTGTCAACATCAACATTTTAAATCCATGTTCATCATTTGATCAAGTATTGATCGCAATCCCTCAAGAAAAGCACTCAATTTACCAATGGGGCAAAATGGTCAAAATTAGGGTTTTAACTGTAATTGACTGATCAGTGACTTTTGACCTAATACATGATATAATGGATTGAAGCATAATCTCAAGGATTTAAATACAACATGTTGACCTAATTTCATAGTTCAAAATATTCTTCAAGATCAATGGATTGATAGTTGAAATTTGATCAACTGATGAAAAGTCAACTGATGCATAAAAAGTCAAACTTTGACTTTTTGATCAACATTTGATTTCAAAAATCACAATCCATCAAGACATTCAAAAATATGAATCTCTATCATCAAGAAATCAAGAAATTCAAAAGTCAATGTGAAAAGTCAAAATTTTCAAGACTTAGAAATTTTTCTAAGTGTTTTATACACGACAATTTCATTACTTCATGCCAAATTTTCACCAAGATGCAAGATGATTCAAAGAAAACTTTCAACATGAATGTTGTAGATCTTGATGAGATATACAAATTTGCTTTACTGATCAAGTTCTATAAGTGCATGGATTTTGAGTTATAAATTCATGAAGTCGTGCACTTTTTCTAAAACACTTAGTGAAATTTTGACCTAGTTTAGGCAGATTTTTGACCTAACTTCTTGGCCAATTTTCACCAAGCTCCAAGATGATTTTGTAAAAATGTTCAACATGAAGGTTGTAGAAGATTTTTCAAGTTTTCCAAAATGTTCAAGAACTTGAAGAGATCAAGCTTGAGCTAGAAGTTTCGAAGAGATGAAGATAGCTTCATAAACTTAAATTATAGGTCATTTTCTTGATGAACATTTGATCCAATCTCATAGCCATACTGCATAATCTTGCTTTGGAGGATTCTAACTTGTGTTTCACTCTATAATTAATTAATTACACAACTTATAGAGTCATTTTCCAAGCATTTGAGCCATTATCCAAGTTGCATTTCCATTTATGGCACAAAGTTGTCATTCCATTCTTGAAAAGTTGCTTTAATCACAAAGTCAACTTGTCTTGAGCTTCTAACTTGTTTGTCCATCACACACTCAACATACAAAGTCAGATAAACATGTTTAAAGTTTTCTAGCCACTCTACAAGCCTTGTACCATGCCTTGGAATAATGTTTGTCAAGCTTTCTTCAAAAACAAGTCAAGAAACCAAAACATGTGATCTTGTACTTCTGATCACCTCAAGCTCTCAAATATTTTCCTATAAATTGAGGCTTTGTTTGTAAGTCTAGGACACGAAATTAGAAGCCTGGAAACTCTCTCAAACTCCCTCTAACCAGAAATTGCTAAAAAAATACCATTTGTATACAGTTTTGCCCTTGAACTTGTATCTTCCATTTCCATCGTGTGTTTTCCCCCAAAATCATTTTCAAAGCTTTCATACATTAAATATAGTTCATCCTTGTCCCTGTTTTGGAACTGTAACACCTCCATCACCATCCTCCATAACCAAAAACAGGGTGTTGCATATTGACTTCTCCAGAACATTTTAGCCACTCTCAACTCAAGCTAAGCATTGCATTAGCTTCCTGGAGGTCCAAGGAAGCTAACCAGATCATTGCAGTATCTTGAAGCAAGCTCAAACTCAAAACATGAATTCCATTTTCAATGTGAGTTTTCTGACTTTTGAATTCTTCATATAGGAATCATTTGGTTTCCATTTTCAAGGATAAAATGTAGACATCATAGCCCTGAAACTGACCATGTCCTTAGAATTCATTTATATTGCTTGAGTAGTGAGAATTTTGAGTTTAAAATTGCTGAAAAAGTTAGGTTAAATTTGGTACCAAACAAAATCCATGCTCATCTTTGATTTATAGCTTTAATTATTTATATGACTGAACTCGTGGTGAAATTTGGAGAAAGTTTCATGTTTATACTGTTGCAAATGATTGAGAAATAAAGAAGATCAGATTTCATAGCAATGGTATTATTATTCTGTGCGCGCAAGGTTGAAGATGAAGTCAGTTCAAACATTCAGGGCTTGATTTATTTTAAGTTTATTGCATGTTGAATATTCACGAATGAAACAGCCACCCCAGTGGCAGGAGGAACGCGCGTAAGGAATTGGCATTAAGGATACTGGGTTCGAGCCCCAACAACACCTTTTGTTTCTTTTTTCTAACATTTTTCTTTGTTTCTGTTTTGTTTGATAGTGCTTGGGTCCCTTGGTTTGGGCTTTGTCCCTTTTTGCTGGACAACACTCCCTCCTTTCCTCACAACACCACTGGCCCAGTACTTTTTTTCTATACTTATTTTATTTCTGACTCCAACAAAAAAAAAACAGACTTGGGCCAAAACAAAAACCCTTTTATTATCAAACC